CGAGCATGTAGAGAGACAGAGGGAGAGATGTAGTGCACTATGTACACGCCGACTTAGCGAAATAGTAATCCGACAGAAGCTTCAGATTTATCGGTAGGAGATTTACGTTAGTTTGAAGTCCGCTAACGCGTAATCTGTTAATTACATCTCGCGCGGCTCCGTCGCTCGTAATTCGCAAGACCCGCTACAGAAAAAAAATGTTACATCACCGCGATAATATAGGACACATTTCCTTTAGCATAAATATTAGAGTGTTTATTATATTCTTATCTTGGTGCAAAGTCTCATCGTGGTAACTAGAATGAACTTGCATTAATTAATCCACAAAGGTATATAATAAATTTTAAGAAATGCAATGGTTATTTAATGCTTGAACAAGTTTGAATTTACTTATTATATAATGGCACCCAGAAAGTTCATATTCACAATACGCATGATAATATAAAATATTTATCAGATAAGATTATTCAGATCATTATATATCAGATAAGATGCCAATGTTGGTTTGAATTTCCCGCATTGTTATATTAGAAATTATACTTTTTTATTCATAAACTTATAACAAATAATTTTGTCAATTGTGTCATTTGATTACTTTTATCGGCTTTTTAAGAATGCTCCTTAAATGAAAAAAGATAAGAGATCTTAAGTAGTAGTTCAATCGACTTTGAAGAAGATCGTAATTTTAGAAACAAAAGTCGATTGGCAGATTTGCATTATAGTTTGCGGAAACAACGATATTTTATTCAGAAACTATCTTTATACGTTGTATAAAGTTGTTTTTGTTCCCTTAAAGCGCTCGACATTAAGTCCCAGGAGTTAAAATTTAAAACTTTTATCGTTTTAACAGAGAGAAAATGAGTATTCTATTTTAACATTTGTGTGTGTTTGCGGAACTAAAGATTAAATATCTTTACATAGTCGAGATTGAATCATGATAACGATAGTTCTTCTTCAAATTCATCGCATTGCTAATGGCCATATGTTTGCGACAGCGGGATTCTGGAAAATCCGTGTGTTGCGTGATAATCACGTGCATGGTTTATCTTATCACCCTCGCGTATTCGGCGTCCGGAAACATCGAGAATGCTTTCAAATCTGATTTATGGTGATGATTATTCTTTTCTCCTCTTAAAATACTCGATAAAGTCCCATTCCTGTGTGCCTCGCGCCTCTGACTTTTATCGAAAATGTATAATCGATAATTCATGGACCGCGGCGCGGAATTGGCACGGTGATTCATATGTTGACGATGATGCATACGATATTTCATGCATAATGCGCTTTCATTTACTACAACGTTTTCATTTTTACTACATAGTAGAATACTACGAAAATATTTTTTTTCAGAATTCTATTCTAAAGCGATCTGATAAAATTTATTAAACTATGTCTGCATTAAGCGATTCCATAGAATTTCGAAACGCCTTTCGGTTTGCTTCATTAGGAGATCTCGCATTTACGCCAGCTGCGCACTTACCTACAACCTGGATAGAGACTCTCTTGTAGGGTTTAATCGACTTTAGCACCGTTCTCTTTCTTCTCTCTCTATTCCGTTCGTATCTAAAAGTTTTTTCTTTTTTCTTTTTTGCGCTTCTTGCGATCTTTAATTATACATTCAGAAGAGATCTCGTTACGACGTGTCGCAAAGAAAATGATTAATTGAAGACATAAGCATAGGTGCATACATTTCGAAGTACACTCGCGACCCATTATATACGTTACATCGATTGCACTTTGCGCAAACGCACACGAAGGATGCGAGTAGTTAGCCAAGTACGAGCATAACACATGAGCAGACACGATAAAATTTATCAGACTTCAAGTATTCTTTTAATTTTCTTACATAACGCCAATAAATCCATTTAAATTGATGCGATATTTTATTAACAAAATAATAATCGATAAAGTAAAGCCAATCTTCCCCGAAGAAGCGATACGAAGCGAGAATATTGCTTCGAGAGTAACTCGAGAGAGCCAATATTCTCTAAGAAATATCTTGCAAATATTTTTGGACAAGAAAAATATTTAAAGAATATATTCTTTCTTTTTTACCACAAACGCGGGCGTGCACTATGGCTAAGTATGTCATAGAGCGGGATAAAGAGAGCCGGGATATAGAGGTCGACTGAGAAGGGTCGTCGGTAGACTCATTTATACAGGGATATCATGCAGGGTAAGGGATTAGCTTTAGGAAAGAGAAATATACGTTGGTCATTTCTGAAAGAACCTACACGACACCTTGATAAGGC